TTGATTACTGAGGCTTTATAGTAGGTATTGAAGTTGACTGGTGTTGGTCCTCCAACGGACATGTCCTTTTTATTTAGTTGGTGTGATGTGGAGTCTCGCACTGTCTCCCAGGCTGGAGTGCAGTGGCACGATCTCGGCTCACCTCAAGCTCCGCCTCCCAGGTTCACGCCATTCTCCTGCCTCAGCCTCCCGAGTAGCTGGGATTACAGGCTCCCGCCACCACGCCCGGCTAATTTTTTGTATTTTTAATAGAGACGGGGTTTCACCGTGTTAGCCACGATGGTCTCGATCTCCCGACCTCATGACCCACCTGCCTCGGCCTCCCAAAGTACTGGGATTACAGGCATGAGTCACCGCGCCCGGCCCCTCCAACTTTTTTCTTCCCCTTCAGTGTTGTGTTGGCTATTCTGGCTCTTTTGACTCTCCATGTAAACTTTATGATCAGTTTGTCAATATGTTCAAAATACTTTGCAGGGACTTTGGAATTGCATTGCATTTATAGATCGAGTTGGGAAAAACTGACATCTTGACAAAATTGAGTCTTCTCATCCACGAACATGGAATGTATCTCCATATATTGTTAAGTTTGAGGGAAAATAACATTTGCCAAATACATTTATGTTTCATCACTTCAAAATTAAAATTTCAAAAAATTCTATATTTTTCTTCTGACCAGTTTTTCCCAACCGAATATAAATATTTTACATACCAAGTATGTAGCACTAGCTCATCTATGTTCTCAGAGGTCGAGTCACTCCTTTTCTTTCCTCCAGCAGTACTGGTGTCTTAATATTTAATAATACAAAGGTTCAGAGAAGAAAACAGAGCATTTACACAGCACACAGGCTCTGTCTAAATGGACTGTTTGTCTCTGTGTCAGGCTTCAGCCTGAATTCTCTTCTTTCTCACATGCCTCAGGACTATACCAGAATAAGATTTCACTTTATTCCCTTCTTTTCATCTTAGGAGCTGGTAGATGGTGACAGGACTGGAAAACGGTTACTTAGAGATCTGAGCCTAGACCCGTGATCTTCATCTTTTGTTCAGGCTACTTGAGGCTGTATGCAATGATGAGGGACTGAAATTTCTCTTAAGGAAGGTGCAAAGCTAAATTTCTTTCACAGTGTGTAGAAATCGAAATGATGCTAGCGTTTTTGAAAACTGAAAAGTACAACTTTATTACATTGACCATTTTTCTATTGCTTAATAAGTGCTCTTATAATTTCTTCCTTTACAGTTTAGTTTAACTAGATGTGAATAAGATAAAAATTTAAAAACCAGATCATAGTATTTTCTTCCCATGAAGCTCTCCGGTTGTGGAGTTTTACCCTGAAATCTATCCTAATCCTTATAATACGCCTTAGTTCTGCTCTCTCTTGTTGGGTCACATCCCTGTGTGAGAAACATTAAGGGAGATTTGCTATGATTTCTCAGTCGATGTATAAAGAGAGAAGCAAACCCATCAGCAACATCACACAACCTAAAAGCATTCATGTTAATTCAGTCTTTGCATAGTTTCCAGCTGTGACCTACCAAGTCTCTGACCATCTTTGAAAGAAGACGGTCCTTTCTACCTGTTTCACTACCTTCTACACACACACACACACGTGCATACACATACACAAATACTCATTTTCTCCTCCACCCTCTCTCTCTGCCTCTCCCCACCACATTCATGGGATCTATCTTTGAAAGGATAAAGGACAGATGGGGTAGAGATTTCTGTTCAGATTCTTTGCCAATTCTCTTACTATTCCAGTCAACACTCAACGTGTATCAGCTAAACCTGGGAAATGATACAGTACTTATTACTGTACATATGTCCTTCTCTAAACAAGGAAAGAAAACATTAGAAGGAAAAAAACAAGACAATAATGAAGAAGCTGAAAAAAAGCAAATGGACAAAGATATCCATCTTCTTTGTTTTCACATTTTGCATTCTAAAATAGAAGAGTTCTAAAATAGAAGAGCAAAGAATTTTTATTAAATTCTTTGGAGTATAAACAACCTATATTATTTACCTCTTTATAGAGCCATGTAAAGTCAGACAGCAGGAATTGGGGAGCTGTAAGCCAACCCTACTAAGTAGCAGTGTTAAGTAGAAATTTTTAGAGAAACAAAAATGTTTATGTTTAATACTATCATTTAGCAGAGGGTGAAAATTATTTCTTCTTGACCTATATCTGGCAAAGAAATTGAAGCTTTCAATTTTAAAATGGTCATATCGGCCCAGGGTTCATATCCATCATGTACACGAAGGGCTCTGGGGGAATCCCAGTGCTTTGAAAAACAAAATTGTTGACTCAAGGCTACCATCTTTCTGAGTCACCATCCACACCAACTACCCAACCCTGGACTGTCGAGATGCCTGAGAGAATTCACCACAGAGTTGACTAAGTGAATAGTGAATCACCATCGTGATGGCTGGACCTTTGGAGACGCCAATTTTCTTGGCACTTGCTGTGTTTCTTGGAAATATTTGAAGCCAAGTGTCATCTTGGTTTGATTAAAATTCACTCCTGAAACTTCATTTTCAAAGAAAACATGTTCTCTGTGTTGAATTTTGATGAGGTCTTTTGGGCAAGTGAACCTCATCGTTTATTTAAAAAGGATACATGATTCTGAGAGTTACTTGGAATTAGGGGTTTCTCGCCAATCATGAGCAGAAAAGTTAGGATTTTTTCAAAAAAATTAGTAAATCTTAATTGTGATAAAATGTTAAACTTACAGAAACATTTCCATTCTAGACAGAGCACTTTCATACCCTTCACCAGAACCACTCATTGTTGACATTGGCCCCTTCCTTCACTCTCCCTCCCTTCCTCTCTCCACTCCTCATCCCACTTTCTTGCCTTCTCTTCCTCCATCTCATTTTTCCCACCCCAACCATATGCCAGTAGTTTGGAAACATTATGCTCCTCTACCATTCAAGATTTGAGTGTGTATTTCCTAAAGTCAAAGATATTTTCTGCCATAACTACAATATGGTGATCAACATGAGGAAGTTAATGTTGATACAATATTTATCTGATCCACATCCGTCTTAAATTGTGTCAATTTCCTCCAATAATGCCCTTTGTAGCCACCACCCCATCTAGGATTCAAGCCAGGATCATTGGTTTTCATATCTCTTTAAGAAAAGGTTTTTAACCCAATTTAAATTGGCAGGGACCTCAAAATCACTTCTGGCTATGAGGGCCTTATGGAAGAATCCTGTGAAAGAAAGATTCATCACTTAGATGGTGGAGAAGCCCACGTTCATAGCTTAAGCCAAATCTTCCCAGTGCAGACCTGGTTTTGTGCTGCTGGAAATGAAGGGAAGGTGCCTTTCCTCTGTCAACCCCCATCATTCTAGGGCGTTAAAAAAATGAACTGTCTCCATCTCCACTCTCTTCCTGTCTCTCCTGAATCAGGAAGTTCTCTCTCTTAAGGGAAGTGGTTTGCCATAGTGAGGAGGAAAGGGATTGTGGAAGAGAATCTCCAGGATGGGCTTCACTCGGGGCTCTCCGAGTCCTCCCCTGTGTCAGCGTGAGGCCTTAGGATCACACTGATCCACGGAAAATGCCAAGGAAAATGCCTTAGAAAGGCAGACCAGCTGGGGGACCTGCTAGAAGATGTTGAGTAGTGCTCAGAAGCAGTTTGAAAGCAGATGCCCTAGCAACCATCTGGGGGACCTGCTAGAAGAAGGTGCGGAGTGCTCAGATGTAGTTTGACGCTAGTGCAGATGCGCTAGCAGCAGTGGCCTTCCTCCAGTCCCAAAGACGGGGAAAGTGAAAAGCCAAAGCCAGGAGGCCATCTCCAGCCCCTAGAGCCCCTTCCAGAGGCGACCTGCAGGTGATAGCCAGGGACGTGGCTTCTTCTCTAGAGGGGGCACCTTTCCACTCTTCCTTCCTTGGCATTAGCTCCATAGCCCCTGTGCTTCTCCCCTGCTCTCCACCCAGCCCTGTGCCTCACCATAGTCAGGGGTCTTGTGGTGCAGGGAGGGATGGCTTGAAGGCAGAGGGAAAGCAAACTCTGCCGGCCAGCATTTGAGGACCTCCTGCCCTGATATCGCCCGCGACCGCCACCTACACTCTTCTCCCCATTACACATCACTCAGTGGCATGAGCCCTGTCCTCTGCCTCCATCCCTGCTCCTCTCCCTCCCTCCTCAGCCCATCTCCCCATCCCAGGCCTGTCCTGAGCCCCTTCTCCTTTCCTGATGCCCTGTGAGTCCTCTGTAGCTTCTTCCCTTTCCTCTCCTGCCACATCGCCAACCTCAAGCCTAATGAGTGTCACCAAAGGCTTGGAAATGGAAGAAGCAGGTATCTCCAGAGACTTTCCAGTTAGAAATTGCTGAAAGCATTTTCAGTAGAAATGTTATTGTGTGTGTAGGTTACGTCTACAGCATAGTTCATCTTCAATGTCAGATCTCTCACAGCTTAAAGCCACTTCCGTGGGCTCTCCTGGTTGCTTACCTGCCCACAGAACATCATGGCTGTAGGAAAAAGCAAGTGGAATCCCAGCAAACCACCTCCTGCCCCTTATTCCTAACCAGCCTCCCTCCTTCTAACTGGGCAAGTTCCTTGCGTGCTCACATGGATAAAGTTTTCTAGATCAATCATGTTCTTTGTGAGTATATAGGGATAAAAATCTCCCAGTTAACAGAGTTTAACTAGATGGGTTAAGACAGAGAAACTTTAAAACCAGGGCCCAAAAACAATCTATTTTGAACTGTTTGTGTTTGCAAAGGATTGTTTTGGTGCTCCAGTGCCCCAAACCAGTAAGTCACATGACAAAGGTGTTCATCTAAAGTTTCAGTATCGCCAGTGGTGATCTCCGACCCAACCTGGATGTAAGGAAGCCGAGCCCATTTCAGATAGAACATTTTTGAACATCTTTGGACAATGTACTTACTCCTCTTTGTCTACCTGCTTTTTTCACTCATGAAATGCTGCAGGCTGAGATCCACACCGCTGTCATTTCTCTCTCCTGTTTTCTGTTCTGTACATTTATGAACAGCGGGTCACAGAAAGTCGAGAGAGCCAGATGACGATTGAGGAAAGGAAGCAGCTCATCACTGTGAGAGAGGAGGCCTGGAAGACGAGAGGCAGAGGAGCGGCCAACGACTCCACCCAGTTCACTGTGGCTGGCAGGATGCTGAAGAAAGGTCAGCGTGTGTGTGTGTGTGCGCGCGCATGCACAATGCACACCTGTGAGCACACTCACCCATGGAGGGCATGGTGTACATGATAACTCAGTTTAAAGGAAAAAACCATGGTCTCTTTAATTTTTTTTTTTTTTTTTTTTTTTTGAGAGATCGGGTCTTGCCCTGTTGCCTAGGCTGGAGTGCAGTGGCTCAATCATGGCTCACTGCAGCCTCAAACTCATGGGCTCAATCTTCCCACCTCAAACTCAAACTCAAACTCAAACTCAATCTTCCCGCCTCAGCCTCTCTAGTTGCTGGGACTATAGGTGTGCAACACCATGCCTGGCTTTTTAAAACTTTTTTTTTGAGATGGAATCTCACTCTGTCGCCCAAGCTGGAGTGCAGTGGCGTGATCACAGCTTACTGCAGCCTCCGCCTCCTGGGTTCAAGCAATTCTGGGCCTCAACCTCCTGAGTAGCTGGGATTACAGGTGCCCGCCTCCATACCTGGCTAATTTTTGTATTTTTAGTAGTCGAGATTTCACCATATTGGCCAGGCAGGTCTTGAACTCCTGACCTCATGATCCACCCACCTCGGCTTCCCAAAGTGCTAGGATTACAGGCGTGAGCCACCGCGCCTGGCCTTTAAAACTTTTTATGTAGAAATGGGGTGTCACTGTGTTGCCCAGGCTGGTCTCAAACTCCTGGGCTCAAGTGATCCTTCCGCCTCAGTCTCCCAAGTAGCTGGGATTATAGGCATGAGACACCATGCTCAGCCTTCTTTAAAAGTTTTAAACTTACTGACGTTCTGTACATGTTTTTTGGGTAGGTTCTGTGAGATAGTCCTACTGAGTATCTTTTCTTCATAAATAATGTCATCTTCAATGTAAATGCATATTTCAATTTGTCACTATCTCAAAACTTACCCCTTTGGAATTGAGTGCAATTGTAGGTTTCAAAAGCAATTCAGATCTGCTAGCAAATATTGGTCCTTTCCCAGAATTACTTTTAAATCATTTCCATTTCCTTGTGACCTGGCAACCACATACCCTAAGTCAGCCTTTCACAGTAAAAAAGTGTATCCCCTCTTCCTTTTAGGTTAATTCCTAGGTCCTTCTCCATGAAACCTGATTTCTCTGACCGAGCAAAGCCAATTCCGGATATGCTTTAATAAGTGTCTAAAAGGTGTCCTCAGTTCCAAGGCAGTGGGATGTCCCTGCCGCAGTCCTCTGCTGCTGAACTCTTGGAACTGATTTGATGCCTGTATTCAAACATGTATGAAACTGACTTACATATCACATGGTTAGTAAAGTCACCTAAGAGCTTTGAGTCTTCATAGGAGTGTTTGGGGCTTTATTTCCTATCCTGCAGGAAATCGTTAAAATTTGGGGTCCCTTTGTCACCTATATGCACATACCATCATTTTCTAAGCTATTATTTAAAAGCAGATTTCCCAACTTAGTGGTAAACATTTTCACATTCACTTCATCTAAACATCTCGTCATCAGCTTTATAGGCTTAGCTTTCCTTTTTCTCAAAACCTTCAGAGAACCACACTTTCATGAATAGGACCTAATTCATTATAGGTACATAATAAATGTCTGCAGAAGGAAAGGAGGGGAAATTCCTGAATTGTAACTAACTCAAATCTTAGCAGGAAATCCCTTCCAGCAGATCTCTTCAACCTCATCTTGGAATTATGAAAAGATAAGAGAAGATAGTTTACTCTCACATTAAATTATTTGCCAATTTTCTGCATCAGATCACAGAACTGGATAATCATGTTTAAACTCCTTTAACATGAGCCCCAACCCTTCTTTAACAGAAGTACCTCCTTAGGCGCAGAGTGACTAAGTAGAACTGGAGCTGAGAACTTGAATCAGACCTCAGGTTTTCCAACTTCTAGCATAGACTTTTATCTTGAAGACGTTCTACTTTGGTTTCTTTTTTCCTCTTCTATCTTAAAAATCCTAATTTATTTGTAAGTGTGTTCTTACTACCAAATGCCACTGCCCTTGTCCACATTGACATAAGAGGATATAGAGTTGCTCTTATGCAGGTTTGGAGAAGGAACAGTTCCCATTTCTCTGTGAATGAGTTCGCTTTCATATTTTCCTGAATATATCAGGGATCTTTATTTAACAGGTGCTATATGGCTCACTCAGGAAATTATCTTCTTACACTTTATAATTAATGAAAAAACTGTTTCTTATATTTCTAATATTTGCCATCACCTCCTGGGTTATATGTTTCACTTGAGTCATTAACTCTTTTTGATTTGTAGTGATAAGGCATCCGATTTACATTCACTGCAGAATAAAATAACCCCCTACACAACAGCCTGGGTTCCTACCTCCCGGGAACATCAGGCAACCAGGAGTGACCACCTCTCAGTGCGTTGCCAGGAGGCATCGGGGCCTGACCTTCATTCTCTCACCCCAGAAACCTCTCCTCCTGCTAGTCTCGTTAGGACTTTCTCCCTTTTTTATATTCCTCAATTCTGTGTAACAGTTAGCACTCCACAAGCTTCCTGTGGTATTCTAGGTTTCTTCTGGAAGCCAAGTATTCCAGCCACACCTGGAGTAAGCGAGATGTGACAGTGTTCCCGAAGAGAGTAGGTGACTGGTTGTTGTACCTAGAATTCATTGAAAGGAGCTATGGGGGATCTTTGTTTTAACGTTTTGTAATTTGCATCTCTATGCCCTGAGCCATTCATTGCCTAAGGATCCTTATCTCTAGCTGGGAGAAGAGCTCTTTTGGATAGTGCCACTGCCTGAACCGCCAGCAGGGGGAGCCATGGCAGCGGGGTTTGCCTGGCACCAGCCAGGACAGGGAGGGATTTCTCCGGTTGCTTTGGAAACCAACCTTCAGAGTCAGCCCTGTTTATTAGCTGCAGAGTTAACGGCTTCTGTGCTAATTAACTCCTCTGATGTCTCTTAAGCATCCTTCTAGTGAGTGATGGTTTCCCTCCCCACCCTGTGATACCAGATTTTATTTATCTTTATTATCTTTCAATAAAGTTTACTTTCTCATGGATATAAACCCTTTGTAGTTCTGGCAATTGAAACAAATTTTAAAACTTTTATTGATAACATCAATCAAATATATGTATAAAATGTACTTCTAGGATGTTACCTAAAATTTGAGTTTTAAACCATTTAATGGTATTTTTTATTAAAATTTTTATGCTGTTATACTTCTCCCGTTCACAGGAGGAAGGAGCAGAATCATTCATTTGGTTTTCCTTGCGATAGTGATTGGCATATTCTCTGGATGTTGTTCGTCCAGGAATGCATTGTCATCTAAGTGGCAATGTCATCGAAGGATTTCACATTTATTACAAATAAGTGCAGAGAACATTCACATCTCATTTTGTTTTTTGTAAATGCACTAGTTTTCTTTCCAATGCCTTCCACTTAGGTTAGGGAAGCGATACTCATCCTTCTCTTTACTAAGTTTTCTTCTTACAGCTGGATACTTTCTCCATACCGGAATTCCTCCCTTTCCCTTTCATATGTCTCTCACCACTTGCCCTTTTAAAGATTCCCCAACCTACTTCTCAGTAAATATACGAGGAAAAGCATTTCCTGTTTCCGGCCACATGGGAGATGGACAGGACCTTCCAACACGCACAGTCAGTCCAGACCTGCCCTGGTCTGTGGTTTCTTCTGAAAGGTTGGCCCTCCTTGGGTTACTGTCTGTGTAATGTCCCCAAGGCCACTGTCCCTCCCTCCCCTCAGCCTGAAGGAGAGCTTCAGTGCTGGGGGCCACTTGCTGGCGAGTGTGACACAGTTCATTCTGCAGATGGCACCAGTGCACTCTCAGCTGCCCCCGCCATCCCCAGACAGCCTCAGAACTCACAGCTGCATTTGCCCAAGTTAACGTGTCATGGACATGTTTTCCCACGTCTTCAGCATTCATTTTGGAATATCAGCTTGTCAGCCACTACAGTCCTTGGAAATAATAAAATCCTATCTACATTTGCAGTTGGTTGTCCCACAGTCGCCGTACCTGTGTAATGTGTGTGTGTGTTCCTGCATGTGTGTACATTCTTATATGTTGTGCCATCTACCCTGGGACTCACAGAGATCCATCAGGGTTCCAGAGATTTCCAGAAGTGACCTTGAGATGCTCAGTAGCTCATCTGTGTGTTCCGCAGGTTTGGCATCACCCACTGCCATAACCCCAGTAGCCTCACCCATTTGCAGTAAAACAAGAGGCACCACACCCGTTTCCAAACCCCTGGAAGGTAAGTCGCCAAGGCCCCGGCCACGCCAAGCCTGATCAGAAGAGGCCTCAGTGATGCGGTCTCACTGACAGTTTCTGCTCGCCTAGATATCGAAGCCAGACCAGATATGCAGTTGGAATCGGACCTGAAGTTGGACAGGCTGGAACCCTTTCTGAGAAGGCTGAATGACAAAGGTACCTACCGGAAGCCAGAAGGCTTTGCTCTCAGAATCTCTAAATCCAAATTCTGATTGCTTTTCTTCCTCAGCTAAATTGTTTTCTTTCCATTATGGCTTTACTAAGTCATACTGTAATCATTATCTTTGTTGTTATCTTCAAAAAATGAAGTTTTGGTCAAGACTGATTAGACTATCAACCCCTGATTCACTTGATAATGTACTAAATTGGGGGCCCCAATAACACATTTGTTCTTGAATCTAAACCCTTGGGATACCATCCAATCGGAATTGTGAACTGAGTGATTTTGCTTATAACTCTGAAAGCAGATTATTATATGTCGGCCAAATCAACATGATCTTGGGCCTGGTGAACTTTAAATTGTATGTTATCAGTTTCCAATAAGGTAAAAGCTGACGTTATTTCTTATAATCACAAATGATTTCTAAAAGAAAATTAAGGCAAATGAATATTGAAATAAGTATTTCAATATAAAAGTCAATGAAATACACAAAATAAAAGCAATATGCAGAAATTGCCTTTTATCTCTTGATCAAAATGTCCAATCCAGGAAATTTATCAAATACTAGGCACTGGGAGCCCCTCCTATTGACAGTGACCACTAACAGGTTGAAAATAATAAAACCGTCACTGAACAGAAATATAAAAGTATAATATAATCACTAAAGTAGCTAAGCAAGGAATGCCAATCAGCAAAGCATTTATTACAAATGTGGAACAGTGATCTAGTTGTGGGTTAGCAAGCAATGGCCATTGCCAAATCCAGCTGCCCACCTGCTTTTGTTTTTTGTTGTTGTTTGTTTTGTTTGTTTTTTAGAGACAGTGTCTTGCTCTGCCACCCATGCTAGAGTTCAGTGGTCCATCATAGCTCACTGCAGCCTTGAACTCCTGGGCTCAAGCAATCCTCCCACCTCAGCCTCCTGAGTAGCTCCACCTATGGGTGTTCACCACCAAGCCTGGCTAAATTTTTTTTCTTTTTCTGTTTTTGTAGAGATGAGGTCCCACTATGTTGCTCAGGTTGGTCTTGAATTCCTGGGCTCAAGCAATTCCCCTACCTTGCTCTCCTGAAGTGCTGAGACTATAAACATGAGCCACCATGCCCAAACCTGTTTTTGTAAATAAAGTTTTATTGAGACACATTCATGCCAATTTGTGAACCTATTGTCAGTAGCTTTTGCATTATAACAGCAGAACTGAGTAGTTGCAACACAGGCCCCATGTCACCCCTTCCCATGCAAAGCCTAAAATGTTTACTGGCTGGCCCTTTTCGGAAGAAGTTTGCTGACCCTTGATGTAGAATGAGGCCGAGGCTGGTTCATCCACCCTCAACAGAAGCAAGTGCAAGTGCAGATTCAGAAGCGTTCAGTGGGCTGATGTGTGCAGTAAGGTCAGCCTCCCTCTCTCCCACCATTTTACTGCAGAAGATTTGTTCAGGTGGGAAGTCCTTAGGTCAGAGATATGTCAGAGATTAAGTAAGGGCCTGGGAAGCAACCACAGGACCCTGTATATCACAATCATGTTTCCTCCACTCCGGGAACTTAGGAGGAAATAGAATCTTCAAACTATTGTGAGGCATAATTGGAGTCCTTGTTTTTATAAAACTCTTACGTCATTTGCTTGTTTGTTGATAGTAAGCGGGATGCAAGAAATGGTGCTCACTGTCACCGGCAAATCTGTGGAGGAGGTGATGAAGGCGGATAATGATGAAACCTTTGCCAGATCTTACCACAGCGTGGAGTATGATATGCCCAGAAGTCCTGTGGAGCTGGACGAGGACTTCAATGTCATTTTCAATCCTTATGCACCCAAGTGAGTTATTTGGGTCTGCGTCTTTCCTCCACTGAGAAGGGCTTCCTTTGCCTACACACAGCATATCCACGAGGCTCTTTCCCCATGTGACCTCCTTCTCCTTCTAACTCCATCACAGGGGTGTTAGTATTCTAGAGCCAGGGCATGCTGTTGCAGGAGCCAGGCACAAAGCCTCCCAGCAGATAAAACATGCAGAAGGCAGACCAGTTGTGCAGGCAGGCAGACCCGTGTGCCACAGGTGCTTGTCCTGTGCCATAAAGTGTCAATGGATTTTTCACATAACTTGAATACTGTTTTGCAGTTTTTAGGTTTACATCACTTAGCAGAGTTCAACGCCTGTCTTTCATTTGACGTATTTAATTCTTACTCATAACTTTGCAAAATATTTGGATGAGATGGGCTCAAATTAGTACAGCTCACTAAAAAATCAGTAAGACATGTTACTTAGCTTCCAATCATTTACAAAATCAATAGATCTGCAGGTTTTCTCAGTGATGACTAAGAGTTTCTCTTCCCATGGGAACATGACTAAACCAACTAGGAAAAGTGATTATGGTATTAGGAGTCCGTCAATTTCAAGTGCCAGAAAAACATCCCAATTCAAACCGACTTCAGCCAGAAAGAAAAATGAGAGGGGTTTACTGGCTCACTGGCTGAACTGTGCGGAGGGGTTGACCGGCTCACTCGCTGAACAGTGCGGAGGGGTTGACTGGCTCATTCGCTGAACAGTGCCGAGGGGTTGACTGGCTCACTCACTGAAAAGTGCGGGTGTGGCCTCGGGTTCTAGCGGCCCCTCAGAACACAGTCTGTCTTGGCTTTGGGCTGGCCTCACTCTCCGTCAGGCAGCGGCCTGGCGGCAGATGGACACCCCAGCTCTGGAGTCACAAGGCTGCCTCCCTGGCCAGCCCAGCACAGGTAGCTTCTCTTCCCAGTAGTCCCAGCAGAATTTCCAGGTTTGATTTTCTTGGCTTCAACTTGAGCCCCGTGTCCATCCCTAAACCAGTCACTGTGGCCAATGGGATGAAAGATGCCGACTGGCTAAAGGCGGGTCTCTGGGTCTCCTCTAGAGCCATGGTGGGGGCGCAGGGAGGTGGTTTCCCCAAAGGAAAATCCAGATGCTATTACAGAAGCAGAGGAGGACACGCTGGACAGGCTCCACCCACGGCAGTCCACCACGTCCATCGGATCTTTCCTGCGAAATTGTCAGAGTGACAGTCTCTTCCATTATCATATATTTAAACTGCTCTCGAGATATTTTTTGCATGTTTAAGTTTGTTCAATTTGTTTCAATATGCATATTTTAATTTCCTACCTTAAAAAATGAACCCTTTGCCATTTTCCACCTCAAAATAGTATTTTGGGTATTTGCATACATAGCTATTTAACCATTTCGCAATCTTCCACCCACCGAATGTCACTGTTTAAATAGTTGTATATCATAATTTAAACATGTATGTATGTTGACACACACATATGACACCATGGCATGTAAAGAGGCCTTTCGGGCACAGAGGCCTGCGCAGCTGGAGGTGGAGAGTGGCAGCGGGAGTCTGTTGGGAGATCGCTTCGCTCGGTCTGCTCACCTCCCCGAGTCTGGTTTTCCACCCCAGAGTTGTGAGAATGTGGGGTGGTCACAGATGGTTGGGGGCCTATTTTATTTCAGATGTTCTTCCAAAAAGTGGTTATTTTTCAGAGGGAGGCAGTGAGTTGAGTGGAAGTTAGTCATGGAGAGACAGTAAGGGGACCGAAAGCTATTGCATAGGGAGAAAGTTTAGTCGGAGCTTTCTCCCGAGGATTATATTAAGAGGATTATATCAAGGAGCTGTGGTCTGCAAATTCCCTAGGGGCTTGCCGGAGACAGACAAGTAGACATGGGTGTATGATTCCAAAGCGAGAATTAGGACAGGTGCATGGGCGCGGTAAGGAGAGGGAAGAGCTTCCTAACTCTTAGAGCTGTCTAGCAGAGCCATGAGCTGCCCGGAAGTACTCCACACCCTTCCAGGCAGAGACCAAGGGGCATGAGTGAGTAGGGGCGTCCGGGCCGTGGCTGAGATTTGAACTCAGTGGGCTTGCATCCCTCTTCCATCTCCAAGATTCTGGGACTCCATGTCAGGGAAGTGGTGGTGGGAGGAGGAGTTGCAAGACTCTTAACAAAATCAGGAAATACCTTGTGGAGTCCAAGACCCACAGGTCATCCAGGTGTGGTGTCGCAGACAGGGACCGCGGCTCTGCTTCCATCCACAGATTGACGTCTTCCGTGGCCGAGCACAAGCGGGCAGGTAGGCCCAAGCGCCGGGTTCAGGCCTCCAAAAATCCCCTGAAAATGCTGGCGGCAAGAGAAGATCTCCTTCAGGAATACACCGAGCAGAGATTAAACGTCGCCTTCATAGAGTCAAAGCGGATGAAAGTAGAAAAGAGTGAGTATTTGAACCCCCACCCTGCTTCTGTGCTGGGGAATGGTTTCTTCCGAAGATTTACTTATTGTTTGGTTTTCTGCCTTGTGAAGGCCAATAATGGTGCTCAGAAGACCCTCATGAAGTAAAAAGGAGTAAGTTTGCATGTACATGTGCACGCTTACCTAGACTTTAAAGATTTTTCAGGGAAATTCTCACAGTGTGTATCACCTGTTCAACTGGTTAATTCAGATTATCCTGGGGTTTGGTTTTTGTTTTTGTTTTTAAGAGACTGGAGTCTCATCATGTTTCCCAGGCTCATCTCAAACTCGCTGGCCTCAAACAATCCTCCCACCTTGATCTCCCGAAGTGCTGGGATTACAGGCACGAGCCACCGTGCCTGGTTACAAATTATCCTGTTTTGTTGAGTTTTCTTTCTGGAAGTTAGAAGAGATGGATATTTCTGAGTATGGTAATTCAGCCATTTTCAGCTCTGTAGATCCTGAACACAACCATTCTTCATTTAATCTTTTTCAAGAGCAAGTCATTTGATCTCTTACAGTAAAACAACTCAAATCACTGGTGTTTCTAATCCTAGATTTTTTTTTTTTTTTTTTTTTTTTGAGACAGAGTCTTGCTCTTTTGCCTAGGTTGGAGTGCAGTGGTGTGATCTTGGCTCTCTGCAACCTCCACCTCCCAGGTTCAAGCAATTCTCCTGCCTCAGCCTCCCGAGTAGCTGGGACTACAGACGCACGCCACCTCGCCCAGCTAATTTTTGTATTTTTAGTAGAGTCGGGGTTTCACCATGTTGGCCAGGATGGTCTCGATCTCTTGACCTCATGATCCAGCTGTCTCGGCCTCCCAAAGTGCTGGGATTACAGGTGTGAGCCACCACGCCCAGCCTCTAATCCTAGATTTTTATATTATTAACTAACACATACGCCAGTGCTTTTCCAATTGTTCTTGGTAGGACCCTGAGCTTCTCTGAGTTGGGACGTGAGCTGGAGGGAGCCGGCTAGGGGCAATGAATGGAGGCAAGGAGATGGGCTCCAGGCTCTCACTCCCACTGTAGGCTGAGCCACACTGCTCTCATCTGCCCAGTAATGTGGGGTTCCATCATTCTGAAACAGTGATTTTCTTGGTTTGAAGTGATAGCATGCATAATCTTGATTTTTGGAAAAATCTTGCTATAATTTTCGTTTTCCCATAACATAAACCTATTTCCTCATGTTTTTCTTAGAAATATAGTATTTAGATGAAGTGGTTGAGTATTTTCATTATAACTAGTTTACTAAGAAAGTCTATTTCAGGCTGGGTGTGGTGGCTCACACCTGTAATGCCAGCACTTCAGGAGGCAGAGGCAGGAGGATCACTTGAGCCCGGGAAGTCAAGGCTGTAGTAAGCTGTAATCACAGCACTGCACTCCAGGCTGGGTGACAGAGTCAGATTCTTTCTCAAAAAAAAAAAAAAAAAAAAAGGCATATTTCAAAATCACAACACCACAATTAATTGACAAATATTGTCATATTTCTCCAAACATAATCCCAGTAAAAAATGTTCTGAGTATCTCTCCAGCATATACATTTTTAAAAACAATAAGTTGGAGAAATAAAGGTTTGTTAGCACAAATCTTACATGCATTTCCTGTGCTTCTGGTTTTGGGGGGCTCAGGGGTTAGATTAGTGATGACTGACTGACCCATAGATGTTTGCACTGAAAACCCAGCATCTTATAAATACAGTCTTAACTCTGAGAGCAGTAGACCTCAAGATAACGTCTAGTTGATCACTTTGCTTCAGCAAAAGATTAGAACCGAATCATCCCTTACAGAGTGTCTACTTTTTTGTTTTCTTTACATATAAAGGCTTTTGGTGAAAACTGTCTAACAGTCATCTGGCATCTGTACATTCGGGCATCTAAAAGTTGTTAGGATTTATAACAGCTTCCAGTGGAATTGCAACAAGTGAATCCGACTCCTGGTTTTGTACTAAAGTGGCTGGTCCACATCATCACTCAGTTCTTGTCCCTCTGCACAGCACGGTGTGACACTTGTCAACAAGCAGTTTATATTTTCAATGCTGTATTTAATTCTTAACAAGGTGGTTAAGCACTGAATTGCACATTTAATCAAACTTGATTACGTTTTCCCTTTCAGGATTAACTTGAAAAGGCAAAGGTGTTGAGTCAGTTATGAATAATTTCTGACTGCAAATATTGTCACTGTAACTGAACCTCCTGCATTGTCTTTCCTTATTCAACCTGCCCAGTGTCTTCCAACTCCAGCTTCTCAGAAGTCACCCTGGCGGGTTTAGCCAGTAAAGAAAACTTCAGCAACGTCAGCCTGCGGAGCGTCAACCTGACGGAACAGAACTCCAACAACAGCGCTGTGCCCTACAAGAGGCTGATGCTGTTGCAGATTAAAGGTATTTCAGAGCAGCCTGGCACGGTGACTCAGGGCCCGTGGTTTCTGTCTAGTCACATAAAGCTTCCTGACTGTGTAATTCATCGCCTGTGCCGGGAAGGGAATGCACGCTTTTTGAGAACCTACTGTGTGTTCCTTGCTATGCAACCTCCTGTCTCTTAAGCTTCCCCCAATCCCATGACATCGGAAGTATTCTGCCCATCATGGCTTCCAGAGGCAGGAATGTGTCTGGGGTCCCAGCAGCTACTGGGTGGCAAAGCTGGATTCGAACCCAGGTCCCCCCACTCCAGAATCCCAGCTTTTGCTCCTGGTGCCCCATGCCCCACGTGGTGGCCAAACATCCATGCAGTTACCAGAAGTGCCCTACGTCATCAGAGGGGCTCTCTGCTCCCTGCCCAGTCCTCCCCGAGTCAGTACAGAACCGGGGAGGAAGACACAGCTTGGGGAAGGAATCAAGGGAAGGTGGATGCAGATGAAGCCCACCTGCCTTGCACTCCAGTGCCCTTCCTGTCCATAGCCAGGGAGATTCCAAAGACTAGCCAGGGGGGCTCTGGGCCATGAGGAGGGAGACTCGGCTGCCTCCTGGCGGCCACTGTATAGATGAATCTTCCAGATGTGAATGGAGGAAATATCCTCTCCCTCCGGGAGGGTTTTCTGCATGTTTCTGCATGACCGCTGTCTATTGTGTGTGTTTAAAAAGACCAGTGACAAGCTCAAATCACCGATCTCTGTCCTGAGTCCTAACCCAGAGACTACACGATCAGTGTAATTGTGGAAAGCTCAAAATCAACAAATATTCAGGAGAAGGTGTTGAAAGCCACAGAAGGTGGTGGCTCCATCCTTCCTGTTGAGAGGCCCCTAGGGTTCATAATGGAAACTCCCCAGGGGAAGATCTGACCCTTCCTGAAGGCGTGGCTTCCCTTGCCTGGGCCACAGATGTAATTGGGTGCAGGAGGTGGCCAGGGGAGAGAAAGGCCCCCGGAGAAGAGTGAAGGAGGGAAAAGGAGCCTGTGCGCTCATCTCCCTGGAAGGGGGAGCCCTCATTAACCCACACACATGACACTGATAATGGTCCTGAGAAACGGGTGACGTTTGGGAAAGCACAAACCACAGAAGCAGCCACTAATGCCATCATGATGCCCTTTCTAAATCCCCCTGCTGCCACCCTGGGCCATGGGCACTCTTATTAGCAGACAAGACCCTTTAGAAGTGAAAGTGTCTGCAGCAGAGATGCTTCCAATGTGGGTGCGTCCTGTCCCCGTTCTGTCTAGAAAGACGGTGATTGTCTGCCTTGTGTTCAGGAAGAAGACACGTGCAGACCAGGCTGGTGGAACCTCGAGCTTCGGCGCTCAACAGTGGGGACTGCTTCCTCCTGCTCTCTCCCCACTGCTGCTTCCTGTGGGTAGGAGAGTTTGCAAACGTCATAGAAAAGGCAAAGGTTGGCACCTGCAAAATAAAAATGCTTTAGCTAACCTCTCCTTTACACACCAGTGGAGTGTTCTTCCTGGCATCAGTCACAAAGCTTCTCAAACACCAGGTGTTGCATTCAAATGAGAAGGGATAGGTAGGATTTCTTTTCCTGAATGTCTCTCAACAAGCCTTCATTACGTGTTTAAATGGGATGTTTTAGGACTATGACCTACACCCAAGTGTTTAGGTCCTGGGTTCCTTCTTACTCCTGTGTAAAAAAGGAAGCGGCCCCCTTTAAAGTCCTTTATCCCAGGTAGCTGTGAAGTTCTGCCATAGACCTAGTGAATGAGACTGTCATGGGGTAAAGCCCAAAGAATGGTGTTTTTTTAAAGCATCACATGTGACCTATTGAAGATGGAGAACTGTTGCTCTAAAGAATTGATAGATACTCCCTGGTCTTTCAGTTACATTTTCTCGAGGTCATTGAAAATACCCAGTAACCAGCATCCACCCACACCCATGATCACAAGGCTTTCCTTGCAGGCACACACTGTTTCTCCCTCTGGTTTTGACACGTGCCACTCTGTCTAGCCAAGGGCTTTTCTACCCAGGTAATTGTCTTCCTTTCTTTTCTTAGGCCTCAGAACTTGCAGCTTTAATTCAGACAAAGAGGAAGTTTGATTGTAGAGCTGTTTATATCTAAACCATCGAAGAAGGAATTAACATACACACTCATGCAGCCAAAGACTTCTGGAAGCTTCTGGGTGGCCAGACCAGTTACCAGTGTAAGACTTTATTGCACTTCAGAGATTGACAAGACTTGAATCTGCTTTCTTCTCCCTTAGCTCATTCTTCTAAACCAGCTATTTTGCAACGTAAAATGTGATGCCCTCCTGTTGTTCTTATCCCCAAGCTGCTGGAGACCCAAAAGAAGATGAACTCTATGAAGCAGCCATAATAGAAACTAACTGCATTTACCGTCTCATAGATGACAAATTTGTTCCTGATAACAACTACTGGGGGGAAATTCCAAAGTGCTCCCTTCTGCAACCCAAAGAGGTACAGCCCATGGGCTCTGCCCTTCAATGAGAAAGCACATTGAAAGCACTCAGCACAGGCTGCCCAATAAATTAGAGATTAAGTGCCCAATAAAGGTTAGCCAGTGTCAGTACCCATTGTAGAACATTTGCAGTTTTTAAAAAGATTTTCTTTCTTTTTTTTTTTCCTGAGACACAGTCTTGTTCTGTTGCTAGGCTGGAGTGCAGTGGCGAGATTTCGGCTCACTGCAGCCTCCGCCTCCCTGCTTCAAGCGATTCTCCTGCCTCAGCCTCCTGAGTAGTTGGGACTACAGGTGCATGCCACCACGCCTGGCTAATTTTTGTATTTTTGGTAGAGACAGGGTTTCACTATGTTGGCCAGGATGGGCTCGATCTCCTGACCTGGTGATCCACCCGCCTCAGCCTTTCAAAGTGCTGGGATTACAGGTGTGAGCCACTGTGCCCAGCCAGAATATTTGTTATTTCAACCCATTACTGACATCTTAAATGCTAATATGGAATCCAGAATATTGTTCAAAGGTGGCATGGATCATTGAAAGCATCATAGGCAAAATGTAAATATTAGCCCTATCTCTTACATTTTGTATAAACATTAACTAGAATATTTTTCAGTCCTTAAGTTTGAGGAACAATAGATGCATATATATATAATTTATGGATTTTTCAATTAATATGCTGTTTTTGTCCTATCACACCAGTAAATATTTATTAATTACATTTATTTCCAGTACCGTTAAGTATACTAGGTGTTGAGAAAGTGGAAGGCACACAGGCCCTTAAGTTTTATTGGGTGTAAGAGTATTAAAAGGAATGTAATCTGGAGCAAGGTTGACTGTGTGATATGTATGGGCATTTACATGGAGGAAAAGTCACAGAAAAAGAAATCATCAGGAATAATTTTCAATAGAAAATGAAATTGAGCCGAGTTTAGAGTTAAGCAAATTTGAATTGCTGGAAGTGAAGGGAGAAATCGAAAGAGTAAAACAAACTGTGAAAATAAGAAATAGCATTACATTCATGTATTCATTCAGCAAACACTTAATAATCAATCCCTCCTGTATGTATTACTATGATCTAATCCCTGCCCTTAAGGATCTTGGAATTGTGTACGGGAGAGAAGACACCATTGGACCACGAGTGCCTGGCATATATGAAGTGGCCTCTATGTATATATTAATGAATGAGCACATGAGAGGGGAAGGAATCGGGGAGAGAGGGAGGAAGTCGACAGGATGATGTACCTAAAGAACTCTTGTGAATTGCAAGTTGTAAGCAGTTTGAGAGTTCAGAGGCGGGAACATTATCTTGGCCACTTAGGACACTGGGAGGAGGAAGCATGCCCCCAGGGTGGAGGCTGGCTTGGCGGGGCAGTGCCAGCTGAGATCTCCTGGCATTTTGTGCGGGGCAGTGCCAGCTGAGATCTCCTGGCGTTTTTGTGTCTGCGTTGGTTGCCCCATTGGGATTTCTGTCTTCCTCTGTTTGAGTCGCTGTCAACAGAGACCCTGTTGCACCTGATTCAACTGTTGCACGTTCTTGAAGTTAACAAATTCTTTTGTGCCATTTCTCCCAGGTACTGGTGTTTGATTTTGGTAGTGAAGTTTACATATGGCATGGGAAAGAAGGCACATTAGCACAACGAAAAATAGCATTTCAGCTGGCAAAGCACTTATGGAATGGAACCTTTGACTATGAGAACTGTGACATCAATCCCCTGGATCCTGGAGAATGCAATCCACTTATCCCCAGGTACTCCTGCCACTGCCTGGGGACGGCTTCCCGAGCGAGCTGATTCCCTTCGATCCCTCCGTTCTCACCAGTCTCTACTCTCGCTCTTTATAGGGTTCAGTTTTCATAAACGGATATATGCAGCGGACTGTGAATATTCACAAAAGGAACAGTTCTTTAACTTTTATCTAACTATTGTGGAAATATGGATGCTGTAGTCTTCTGGAAGAGGTTTGTTAGAGCTGATTTCTTGAAGTGAGCAAGAAAAGCTGCAAGTTCCCCTGCGGCATCCCAGGTGCTGCTGTGGCAGACGAACAGCAATTGTTGAAACAAATACATGCAGATCTGAAAGGCTTCCCGGGTCTGGAATTCAGCCATTGATCTGAAAGTGCAAAAGCAACATGCCTCCTTCTAATTTCATACCTTCCCAGCATCACCCTCAAATTCCAGCATTTATTTGGCAGCAGATGATGTTTATGTCTTTATACCTTTGGGAAGGGAAGAGGGGGAAAAGATGGTATTAAAATTATGATTGCAATTTTAATATTCCCTGCATGTACTGGACTCTTTAAAGTCATTTTGGCAATTCAATAGAATATGTACAAACTCTGAAATTATGATTATGAAAAAAAGAATTCTTACATGCAAAGGATTGCTGTTGTTCTTTCAACTATCAGACCAAAAAAAAGTAGGTTTTTTAACTATGTGTGCCATTACAATAGATTGAAACCGATGAACCACCAAACAGCGTAGAATATTGGGCATCACACAACTGCATTTTAATGTTTTCCATTGAACTGGTATATGAATTTCAACTTTCCTGCCTAGGTTCCTGCTTTAAAATCCAATTATTGATTTCCTTATTAATTATTATAGAAATCATTAAAATTATGTCAATGTGGTAAGAAGTTTTAAAATCCTTGTTAAGCAAATGTACTAATGTTTAACATCAATATGGTAACAACCATTGTTTTAAGGACTGGAACTACAGCTCAAACGATTTTATTTGGTATAGCAAAGGAAAAAAAAACAGGCTAAAGCATAAAATCTATGTGATGGCCAACTGTATTTAATAATGGCATAATCACAGATCTGGAAGTAGATGACGGAGCTCCAACATCTCTGAGACAGAATCACCTGAGGGGCCTTTAAAAAGATGCGTTTGCTCAGCCCAGCCTGAGATGTGTTTTCGATTCATGTGAGTTAGAGCTTACGTGTCAATACGTCTTAAAAGCTCCTGGGGATTTTAAGATGCAGCCAGGATTACACACCCAGCCCTTCTTAGCAAATGAGGCTGGAACCACTGAGCCCAGTTCCAACTGTAAGTCAGGGAAGGGGGGAGAGAAACACACCTGGCTCCTGGCCCAGGTTCGTCCCCCTCACCCTGCAATCTGCCACGTGGCTTGCTCACGACGCTTCAAAACATAAACGACAGATTCTAAAGCAGAAGCCAAGAACCCTTTCAATCATCATCTTAGCAAGCCTGCAGAGTAGGACTGACATAAGAGACAGGCATTCAGATATTTTCTGATAAAGACCACAGCCTTTCAAGACCGTGTGCATTTTCCATAGGTGCTTATGTTTGGTTCCCAAAGTCCCACAAGAGCACGAGGTGGAAGTGTCTGTGTTCTATGATTTATCCGGCAGCTTTCTTTGAATCAGGCAGCCTTTTTGATGTGCCTCAGCTGTGACATCAGCAGCTGTGGTCTTGACCAAGCAGGAAGCCACTGAGGCAGTAGCACAGCAGGGCATGGGCAGCAGGGCGGGTTGCTCTAAGGGGTGGCTGCATCCCGGGCCGGATTCACAGCCGAAGATGGATGTGAAGGGATAAGAGATCATGCATATTATTCCAGGGCTACGCCCTCCACAGCACGCGTATCTTCTCTACTTTTTCTTTTCTTTTATTTCTTTTTCTTTCTTTTTTTAAATTTTTAATTTATTTATTTATTTTTTTGAGACAGAGTCTCACTCTTGTCGCCCAGGCTGGAATGCAATGGTGCTATCTTGGCTCACTGCAACCTCCACCTCCCGGGTTTAAGCGATTCTCCTGCCTCAGCCACCCGAGTAGCTGGGATTACAGGCACCCACCACCACGCCTGGCTAATTTTTTATTTTTAGTAGAGACAGGGTTTCACTGTGTTGGCCAGGCTGGTCTTGAACTCCTGACCTCAGGTGATTCACCCGCCTCGGCCTCCCAAACTGCTGGAATTACAGGCATAAGCTACCACACCCAACCCTCAGCTCTGACTTTTTCTAAATTACCTGTGTTCTTGGGGACAGCGCAAATTCTGAAATCTCAAGCCCACACAAGACCTCCAGTTGGGACTGTGCCATTTTCTTTCCTATTTCTCTGTGCTCTCCTTGTCTGCTGCCCTGGCCAGTCGCCTAGAAATAAGTGTACAAAAGGGCACTTCAAGAAAATGAAAGTGTGTTCATTTTAGTGACAGGAGAATCTCCGTACTCTGGAGAGCTTTGCTGTAACATGAAATAAAATAGTAGAGAATTGTGGGGAGGGGAGCTACCTCTTCCTTACGTCGATTAATTAATTGGAGGGAAACTTGGTGAGCATTTGCAGGTGACTGGGTGGCATAGAGTAGATGACAAGTGAGGTTTGCCCACAGCTCCTGCCATTGCCAAAATCTCCACCCAGCATGCCACCCCAAGGGCATTCCAAAGACAAGAATTTGCTAGAATGTGGCCAGCCACAGTGGCCCACACCTGTAGTCCCAGCACTTTGGGAGGCTGAGGTGGGAGGATCGCTTGAAGCCAGAAGTGCAAGACAGCCTGGGCAACATAATGAGACCTGGTCTCTATTAAAAAAAATCAGCCAAGCATGGTGGCACACATCTGCAGTTCCAACTATTTGCAAGGCTGAAGCAGGAGGATCACTGCAGCCCAGGAGTTCGACGCTGCAGGGAACTGTGATTGTGCAATTGCACTTTAACCTGGGCAACAGAGCAAGACCTTATCTCAAAAAAAAAAAAAAAAAAACTGTGATTGTGCAATTGCACTTTAACCTGGGCAACAGAGCAAGACCTTATCTCAAAAAAAAAAAAAAAAAAAAAAAGACTTGCTAGATTGTAAGAAAAGTCTAGTCCTGACATGGTTCATGTCACATTTAGGCACATCAAAAACTTCATGGACACAAAGCTTTGCAAGACTTCAGACTAAAATAACAAAATGTCATTATTTGGTAACATGCAGGAAAATAAACCATTTGTTCTATACACCACTTACATGCTTTGAGATTTTTTCCAGTAGCCGCATGTGTTTTAGATTCCTTTGTTTAAGCTTGGCTTAATCTTGGTTCTTTTCCTGTCTGTTCTCCCAACCCCCACCCCCACCCTGCAGAAAAGGACAGGGGCGACCCGACTGGGCTCTATTTGGGAGACTTACTGAACACAATGAAACAATTTTGTTCAAAGAGAAGTTTCTGGATTGGACAGAACCGAAGAGAGAGAATGAGAAGAACCCCAGGGAACTTGCCCAGCACAAGGTATTCCAGTGACCAAGTCTCAATCCTCAGGGCTTGGTTCGGGTCCCAACAAACATGGCCTTGATGTAAAATGATCAAATCAGGATAGTTCGTGTGGTCATCACTTCAGATGTACCATTTCTTTGTGGTGAGAACATTCAAATCTTCTCTTCTAGCTCTTTTGAAATATGAATACAGTATTGGAAAACAGTCACCCCACTGTGCAGGAGAAAACCAGAGCTCATTCCTCCTCTCTGGTTGTCATTTTGTAACCTTTGGCCAACATCTCCCTATCTTCCCTCTCCCGTCTCCTTCCCACACCCCCTTCCCCATAAAACAGATGCATGTATCAACACATCAAATCATACTCATAATAATGTGTCAACTAAAATATTTTTTTAATTAAAAAAAAAAACCATGGACACACACACACACACACACACACCCCCTTAAAGCTAAGAGGCCTTCCCAGGATTCACTGGTAGAACAGCAGACAGGCCTCCAATTCTAATCTGACTCCGGGAGGTGAAGAGTCTGGTTTGCACCTGTTCTTGGGCATCCATGCACTGTTGTGGCAATGGGTGTTCAGACCTCCCAGAGTCTTTCTAGAAATGCAGCCTTTCCCTGACTGCAGTTAAACATCCTAAGATAGAGGATGGAAGCTGTATTTTTATGCTGTCCCATGAACAGCTGAAGCAGCGTTGAGTGTGACAAGGAATGGCTGTGGAAACAGGCAACTGAACCGATGTCTTCATGTTCCCCACAGGAAGACCCCAGGGCTGATGTCAAGCCGTACGATGTGACACGGATGGTGTCCATGCCCCAGACGACAGCAGGCACCATCCTGGACCAGGTGAACGTCGGCCGTGGCTGTGGCCTGGTGGAAGGACATGACAGGAGGCAGTTTGAGATCACCAGTGTCTCTGTGGATGTCTGGCACATCCTAGAATTCGACTATAGCAGGCTCCCCAAACAGAGCATCGGGCAGTTCCACGAGGGGGATGCCTATGTGGTCAAGTGGAAGTTCATGGTGAGCACAGCAGGTTAGTGAGCGCTTATGGTTTTTTCCAGCTGAAAGAGGTCGGCCCAGCAGCCCTGCAGGAGCCAGCTTCCCCAATGAGCCCTGTTGTGCTCTCTGCTGGGTGTGTGCAGTGGGGCACTGCAGTCATGTGCCTTTGAGAGCCACCTAGTAAACCACAGAGATGAAAAGAAGTAAGGCTGAATTCCTAACAACCTAGCATTGCCAAAGCTGCTGGTGTTCACCTGTAGAAATTGAACTTGCACATCAAGTCTTCTCGGCTCCCTCTCTCTCTCCCCTGCCCCTGTCCCCAGAGCTTTTCTGGGAAAGAGATGATTGGCCTCTAAATGATATTTCCCATGTGACTGTGTGTTGCTTCAATTAAAGTCGTTAAGTACAGCATGTCTTCGTGATTTAAAGCTGGAACCAAATGGGCTGTAACATTATAGTAAATACACGCACGGAAGATTGATTTGAAAAGTGAAAGAGTCTGTTTCTCCTGAGACTGAGAGCACGCGTGGTGCTTTGTGGGTCTGGTGTAGTAAATGCAGAGTCTAAACTCTCCTCGGTTCCTGATGGTGACATACCGCATTGCAAAACACTCGCCTGGATGCTCTGGAGAAATCACCCCTTTCCTTGCCGAGGAGGAGCCTTTCCCACAGCGCTCCTCACCCCTTCCCATTCAGCATGCAGGTCACAGGTCTGTAATTTCAACTCAGAAGAGAGTTTTTTCGCCTCTTTACAGCCCCCTTGCTGTGCAGGTGCACCTGCCCCCAGGGCCACAGGAAGCACAGGCAGCTGTTTGCTTCAGAAAACTGCAGGCTCAGAACCACGTGATTTCTTTCCTGGTTTATATAAAATGCATCTGTTCATCAACTGACACCATTTCCTGAGCACCTACTCTATGGAAGACACTTTTTGTAGGGACCAAGTAACTATTTCAGATCCTGTCTCCAAGACAGTTATCCATGATGTAAAGCAAGTGCAGGAACACCCAGCAGGCGGGTCTCACTGAGCACAGCCAGTGGGGCTGTGTGCTGTGCAGAGCTGGCTGTGGTCCAGAGGTCCCCCTGCCCCCTCAGAGCACGATGCGGGGGCTTTATCCTGCCTCCAGCTGAGTGCCTCCTGGGCTCCCTGAGACTTGTTCTGTTGTGATGCTAATTTCTCAGATGAGGAACAGGACCATAAGATGGGGAACCTGCCTGAAGCCACACAGCTAGCAGGGAGCACAGCGGGACACTCACACCCAGGCCCGCCTCTTTTCAAACCCAACTGTGCTGTTAACCCGCTCTGCAGGCACGGAGTCAGAGTGGGGCTCCAGCACAGGATGTGGGGAGCCATGAGTTTGGTTACAAGGACGGGCCGAAGAGCCCAGTCACCAGACTGTGGAGCAGGTCAGGGTTGAACCAGCGGCAAGGCAGCTTGAAGTTGGGCCACTGAACACATCAAACTTCAGGAGCTTCTTAAACAGCAGGAATGGGCTCTTCCAGGGCTCAAGCAGCTCCAGCTTCTCCTTCCAGAGAGTAGTGGGGTGTCAGACAAGGACCCCCAGTGGGAGGGACTCCCTTCCCTCACAATCCCCTCCCCTCCCTTTCCCTTCCTTGACAGGGTCTCACTATGTTGCCCAGGCACTTTCTTTCTTCGTTTCTTTCCTTCTTTTCTTCCTTTCTTCCCTCCCTCCTTCTCTCCCTCCCTCCCTCTTTCCCTCTGTCTCTTTCTCCCTCCCTGCCTCCTCTCTCTCTCCTTTCTTTCTTTCTTTCTCTTTCTCTTTCTTTCTCTTTCTTTCTTCTTTCTTTCCTTCCTTCTTTCTTTTTCTTTCTTTCCTTTCCCTTCCTTCCTTCCCTCCCTCCCTGCCTCCCTGCCTCCCTGCCCCCGTCTCTTTCTTTCTTTCTTTCTCTTTCTTTCTTTCTTTCTTTCTCTTTCTTTCTTTCTTTCTTTCTTTCTTTCTTTCTTTGTCTTTCTTTCTTTCTTTCTTTCTTTCTTTCTTTCTTCCTTCCTTCCTTCCTTCCTTCCTTCCTTCCTTTCAGACTTACAACTTTGGAAAAGTCCAGCTTTGGAGAATTAGGATAGAGCAGAGAGTGTTCAGATTCTAGACCATCCCTCCAGCAGCAGAAGCACAGCCCAATGGCACTTGCAGTCACTCTGTAGCCAACATGGAAGCTCTGGCCTCTTGGTGACACTCATCCGGCTCCTCTATCACTTGTGCCCACAAGAGCCACACCTGCAAACAGGACCGAGTCAGAGCTCAAGGAGCACTTCTGGGAGAGGGTCAGCACACCTGCACACAGGACCGAGTCAGAGCTCAGGCAGCACTTCTGGGAGAGGGTTGGCACACCTGCAAACAGGACCGAGTCAGAGCTCAGGGAGCACTTCTGGGAGAGGGTCAGCAAAAAGCAGCAGCTGCACAGGTGGTACAGCCTCTGCTTGGCCGATGCTGGCCGGCCTGCTGTGGTCAGTGTCCTGGCCCAGCGCCTGCAGGGTAGGGTTGCTCGCACTCCAGCAGGGTCAGGAGACAGCTGCTCGAGGTGCCCAGGGATGCTGAGCCAGGCTCCTCCAGGGCACGATAGGGGTTTAATTTCTATAAATAGGTGGCTCTGGGGCAAGGATACTTAACCATAAGCAGTCTTCACACCTCTGTTTTCTGTTATTCCTAAATAGCACTACTGGTACCAAACTTATTCTTGAAACTGCTTTGATGGCGTAACATGTCCACACTTTATTTATCTATTTATCTATCTATTTATTTATTTATTTACTTACTTATTTACTTATTTAGAGACAGAATCTCGCTCTCGCTCTGTCACCCAGGCTGGAGGGCAGTGGCGCGATCTTGGCTCACTGCAAGCTCCGTCTGCCAGGTTCACACCATTCTCCTGCCTCAGCCTCCCAAGTAGCTGGGACTATAAGCATCCGCCACCACGCCCGGCTAATTTTTTGTATTTTTAGAGAAGCAGGGTTTCACCGTGTTAGCTAGGATGGTCTCAATCTCCTGACCTCGTGATCCATCTGCCTCAGCCTCCCAAAGTGCTGGGATTACAGGCATGAGCCATCGCACCAGGCCCTATTTATTTATTTTGAGACAGAGTCTCGCTCTGTTGCCTAGGCTGGAGTGAAGTGGCGCAACCTTGGCTCACTGCAACCTCTGTCTCCTGGGTTCAAGCAATTCTCCCTGGCTTGGCCTCCCGAGTAGCTGGGATTACAGGTGCCTGCCACCACACCCTGTTAATTTTTGTATTACACTTTAAATTAGGCAACTGATCAAGGCTGTGAAAAGAATGGCTCCGGATCAAGAGGTCAGGAAATCGAGACCATCCTGGCTAACACGGTGAAACCCCATCTCTACTAAAAATACAAAAAAAAAAAAAAAAAAGAAAGAAAAAGAAAAAGAAAAGGAAAAGAATGGCCCCATAAGTTCTTCCCACTGAAAACTGAATCTTTACATTGCTAAAATTAAAAATGAATACACATATGAAAAATGAATTTGTATATAGGACTACATTTCAATACGTGAAGAAAAACTCTTAACGAAAATTAGTGAAATGCCCATTTTGTAAAATATCTTTAAAGAAATAGAAGTCTAGGCTTGCACCTGTAATCCCTGAGTTTTGGGAAGCTGAAGTGGGAGGATCACTTAAGGCCAGGTGTTCAAGACTACTATGGGCAGCATAGTAAAACCCCATCTGTACAAAAAATAAAAAAATCAGCCCAGTATAGTGGCATCTGCCTGTCGTCCCAGGGCTTTGGGAGGCTGAGCCAGGAGGACCCCTTCAGCCCAGGAGTTCAAGGCTGCAGTGAGCTATGGTTATACCACTACACTCCAGCCCCAGCAGCAGAGCAAAACCCTGTCTCTAAAATAAAAATACTTTTAAAAAGAGATACAATTGTATTTTGGATATATACGGTCAAGTCTATTTAGAATGTTAGGACATGATATTGGTTATTTAAGTGTAAATGTGTATTTATACAATGTATTTGAGTGCTAAAAATGTCTAGGTCTTTATAAACTGTTACCATCTATTTGAAACATGCCTTTCCCTAGTAATCTAGTTGGTGCAACACATTTTCACTACTTTGAGGAAAAGGATTGCTAATCAAAGGCAGTATTTTTTGCTAAGTTAGCAGAAATTTCAGTTGAGTGGCTTCCAAATTAATTTTAGGTATTTATAATGTAGTCATTGATGGTTCCTATTTTATTTTGCCCTCTCGAAAACATATAAACTTAGCCAGTTCAGATCTATAGTGGATGGTAGGAAAGGCCATTTTTAGTGAAAATACTTTAGAATCATTTATGGAACCTATGTTACAGATACTTTACCAAAGAAATGACTGAAAAAATCAAATAAATATGACCCCTGAACTTTTAGGAACTTAAATGAGTTTTCTTCTTCCTTTCAAACTCCAATACAGTTGTAATGTTGGAAATGGGATTGAAGCTAGGAAAAACTGAGGTGATATAGAAGCAGACTCCAGTCTTTTTTGTTTGTTTGCTTGCTTGTTTGTTTTGTTACAGAGTCTCACTCTGTTGCCCAAGCTGGAGTGCAATGGCGCGATCTTGGCTCACTGCAGCCTCCACCTCCTGGGTTCAAGCGATTCTCAGCCTCTTGAATAGCTGGGATTACAGGCATGTGCCACCATGCCCAGCTAATTTTTGTATTTTTAGCAGAGACGGGTTTCACCATGTTGGCCAGGCTGGTCTCAAACGCCTGGCCTCAAATGATCAGCCCACCTCGGCCTCCCAAAGTGCTGGGATTACAGGCATGAGCCACCGCGCCTGGCCAGTTCTTTTACTATTACAATTTAACAGGTCTTCTGCACCTCAAAGCTCAGATAAATTCTACCTGTTTCCACAATGCTTTGAATTATTTCATATTTTACATTTATTCTTCATCTGGAATTTACTTTAATTCATACGGTATCTTTAGCTTTGTCCTCTTTTCTTTCAAAGATCCTGGAAGTTTTAACTTCGCACCCCACCTGTTCATCCTCAGCAGCTCCTCTGGGGATTTCGTGGCCACGGAGTTTGTGTACCCTGCCCCAGCCCCCTCTGTGGTCAGTTCCATGCCCTTCCTGCAGGAAGATCTGTACAGCATGCCCCAGTCGGGTACCACTTGCAGGCGGCAGCTATGACACACTGCTAAGCAGCAGAAGACACACCTTCCATGTACTTCTGCACACCCAGAACATATGCTTATCCTCACCCCTAAACCAAAAGGAAGGAGGGTGAAATCAGCCACACATTATAGCATAAGAAACAAGGCTCAGTTACTTAACCCACCCAAAGACGTCAGCTAAGAACAGGTTGAGCACCACAGTGGCAGGCCTGGCGTCTCTGCTCTTCTCCCAGCCTTGCTCTCAGTCTTGTTGCTGCATGGTCATTGGTTGACTGCCATTGCTCCAGCCATCATGTTTGCATTCAAGACAGAAAGAGAAAGAAGGGTGGAGGAAAAAAGGGAACTTAATAGCCACATCTCTCTCCTTAATCAGATAAAAAAGACATTTTCCCAGAAATCCCAAGCAGACTTTTGCTTATATCCCATTGGCCAGAGCTTCCCACATGGCCAACCCCAGCTGCAAGGGATCCTGGGAAAGCAAATGGCAGGGGAGAAGGGTATGGAGGTATCAGCTACGTTAGCCAGTGAACAGGGTCTGCCATACCAAGTCTCCACAGCAGAGGCAAGACTCCAGCCCAGGTCTTCTGATCCCAAGGTCAGGGCTGTTTCCACCAGGCCACCGCCTCAAGACAGAAACCTCTGTGCCCTCATTCTGGTTAGGAAAGTCACAAGAGACTGGGCTTGACAGCCCCTCCCGCCCACCCTCCAGTGAAGCCAAGGTCAGCTGCTTCTCAGTTTGTGTTTGTTGCTTCTCACATTACAAGAGTCTGGAGCTGCAGCCAGGGACCTCACCTTGCACTGAGAGCCCAGGGCACCACTGGAAGTTTGACCAGTGCACATGTCATGCTTGGAAAATCTTAGCCATCAGAAAGAGAGGTTGTGCCCACGCCTTTCATCCTGGGGCTCAGGGCAGGTTATCAACCTCCACTGGGCTTTTAAAGTGTGGCTTTCACAGAATCCTGAAACGCGTGCCAGGAAAGGACACACGGTGAGCCAACCAGCAACAGTGAGAGGCGTTTTGCCCCGTGGAGTAAGAGTCAGGCTGACAATTTGAGGAGGAGAAAAAGTGAGGAGGAAAAGGCAGTAGAACAATTTTTATTTTCAATTTATTTCATTTTATTTTGTATTTTATTTTATTTTTTATTTTTTATTTATTTATTTATTTTTTAGATGGAGTCTCACTCTGTCGCCCAGGCTGGAGTGCAGTGGCGCAATCTCGGCTCACTGCAACCTACACCTCCCGGGTTCATGCCATTCTCCTGCCTCAGCCTCCCAAGTAGCTGGGATTACAGGTGCCCGCCACAATGCCCGGCTAATTTTTTGTATCTTTAGTAGAGATGAGGTTTCACCATGTTGGCCAGGATGGTCTCAATCTCCTGACCTCATGATCTGCCTGTCTCAGCCTCCCAAAGTGCTGGGATTACAGGCATGAGCCACCGCACCCGGCCATTTTATTTTATTTTTTAGAAATAGCATCTCACTTTGTCATACAGGCTGGAGTGCAGTGACACAGTCATGGCTCACTGCAGCCTCTAACTCCTGGGCTCAAGTGATCCTCCCACTTCAGTCCCTGAGTAACTGGGACTATAGGCATGTACCATGCCTGACATTTTTTTTTTTTCTTTTTGTAGAGAGAGGGTCTCACCATGTTGCCCAGGCTGGTCTTGAACTCCTGGGCTCAAACAGTCCTTCCTCCTCAGCCTCCCAAAGCACTGGGATTACTGGCATGAGCCACCACTCCTGGCCACAGTTTTGATGTTTAAAGCCCATTTCTCTGTAAGAGAACCATGAGCTCACCTCACTGCTAAGCAGTCGCGCCCAGGGCGGGAACACCACTGACCTGTCTGCCGTGAGATGTGTGCTCCAGTGTTGATTGTGCTCTTTGGAGATACGTGGTGCTAACAGCCCCTTGAGTGGCACGTGCATTATCCCTTCCACTCTTAGCACAGTCCTGCCAGTATCCAGAAGGGCCAGGGGCTTGAGCTGGGGCAAAGGGAGGAGGACCTGGAGGACGAGGAAGGAAAGAGACTAACTCCTTGACGCCACCTTTCTCTGCCTAGGGGCTTCTCCCAGTTGAACTTTCAAAGGGCTGGGGTGTCCTGGGTTTCTGTTTGCCTCTTTGCCCCTGGTTTGACGGCCAAGGGGGTTTCCCCCTGTGACACACCAGCGGGGAGGAACAGCATCCACTAGGTTTGGGGAGGAGTGAGCTGGAAGTGTCCGTGAAGGAGCTCCTGACGGTCGGGGTCTGTCCCTGCCCTCACAGCGCTTTTCCCTGTTAACAATCACCACGAGGTGTACCTCTGGCAAGGCTGGTGGCCCATCAAGAACAAGATCACTGGTTCTGCCCGCATCTGCCCTGCCTCTGACCGGAAGATTACGATGGAGACCGTACTCCAGTACTGCAAAGAAGAGGCCTCGCCAGCAGCTCCCCGGAGCCCTAGACCCTCTTTCTCTTTCTGCATGGGTCAGCCGGTGTCTATAAAGCCTGGCAGGTGGTAATGAAACCCATTTTTTTCACTTTAATTTTTTTGAGATTTATTAATTTTTATTTTTCGATTAGTGCATTCTCAGCTGCCAGCATGAAGAAGAACTAGTTTTTCTCTCTGGTATTATGAGGCCATCTAACATGTTACCCTCAAGGATAAAGGCTGTATTGTGGAACGCCCCAGGCAGATTAAAACCCTGTTGTACTCCGGGTTGATCACACTGAGAGACAAGTTGGCCTCTGCCATGTACATTATCTGCAACCACTACCATGCTGTTGGAGAATGAAAGTCTCCCCCAAATGGTGAATGGCCATTGCCAACCTTTTTATTATTTATTATTATTTTTAGTATTATATCCTAAAAGTAAGTTTGTAGTTTTTCATATACCATCCACATGAAATTTCTGGTCCTTTATGTAAAGTGAAAATACCAGTAATTAATATCACATTTTTATGGTTTCATTGATACTATTAGTTTAATATCACTGAGTATATGCAATTGATTCTCTTCCTGAAAAACTGTTCAGCAATAAATAACATATGAAACCTTCCACCCAATGTTATAGTAAATGTAGATGTGTAAGATGCTGTCTTTCGCTGTCAGTCATATTGGAGTTAATCCCATGGTAGGAAGGCAGAGGGAAGCCGCTACGGTGAATTCAGGAGGAAGAAAATGCTCCACCCAGAAGCTGCAGACAGAGGAGCTCTCCCTTCCAGGAATACAGAGCGTTTTATTAGGTTCAAGAAGTATAGACTCAGGTTGATTATAGGTCACTATTGTAGTCACAGGCATGAAACTAACATCTTATATAAACATTATCCATGTGTTGTTATGAACTACTTATAACTTGCATTTTAAGCATGAAGTCATGAGTTCTGACAAAGAAGAAAAGATTTCAAGGGAAATCAGCGAAAGACAGGGTCTCTCTTGGGTCTACTGACGTTTTGTTCTGTGTAACTACAGGGAAAAATCTCAAGAAACCACCCCCCAAGTCTTACCTTATCCATGCTGGCCTGGAGCCCCTGACATTCACCAATATGTTTCCCAGCTGGGAGCACACAGAGGACGTTGCTGAGATCACAGAGATGGTGAGCACGCTTTCCTGCCCTGTGAAGGTGCCTCCTGCGCCTTTTGGATTGTGGGTTGACTTTACTTTGGGGAGAACATCCAGTTGCACTGTCAAAGTGGGAAAATATTTTTCCTTTTGTAACATTTTAACAAGTCGACATAGAATTTGCTTAGGAAGAAGAGAAGTCTAATGGAAAATCAATTAACTATTGTAGTAATTTTTTACACATGATACCTAAATTTTAAAAACTTAAAAGCAAAGGTGAGTTTAATCATGCTGACTATATATGTACGTAAAAGCTGCGAACTCTTCATTCTGTTTGCTAAGAACCTGTTTCTTGGCATTGCTTGTCTCCAGTGTCCATGTGATGTGCAACCAAACCCTCATGTTTCAGACGTTAACCTTGTGTAGAGGAGACACAAACAAAATCTGATGAATTAATGTGTTCAGATAACTGAATGTATGGATGTACTGCGACTCACTTACGAGAAGGTATTGCTCAACATCTCATTCATATTGTCTTTTAGGAGACCACCTGGTATTTTCACATGAGCCATTTATCATAACTTCTATCTACCAAAATATATTGTTATCCAGAATGTTTTCCAACCACACAAAAAAGAAGTTACCTATAACGATGTTGAATTTCTTATTGATGAGCTATTAACATTGCTAGGAATAGCAGTTCTGAGGATTTGTTTTGGTTTGATGGGAGATGGTGTTTTTCCGTTTTGAATTTTTTTTTTTTTTTTTTTTACCATGTAGGAGAGCTGCTTTGATTGGGGAAATGACCCAAGTGTATTTTGTCGTCTCAAATTTGTGTCTCTGACGGGCTAAAATTAGGAGGGTTGAGGAAGAGGAGGTGGTCAACAGGAAGCAGGGAGTCAGTTGGGCATCATGAAGGGTGAGGGGCCTGGTAAGCTTCCATTTTTTCTTTTCTTTTCCAGCCCAGGCTGGAGTGCAGTACCACAATCACAGCTCACTGCAGCCTCTGCCTTCCAGGCTCAATCAGTGCTCCCAGATCAGCCTCCCAAGTAGCTGGGACTACAAGCACACACAATGCCCAGTTAAGTTTGTATTTTCAGTGAGGTTTTGCCATGTTGTTCAGGCTGGTCTTGAACTCCTGGGCTCAAGCCATCTGTTGGCCTCAGCCTTCCAACATGCTAAGATTACAGGCTGACTTTCCAAAGTGCTAGGATTACACTGTTGGCTTTCTGATACTCTCAGAGAGGCCTGATGGTTGATTTCCTGAGAAAGTAACTCAGATAAGACAAATATAACTTTCTCAAGTTTCAAAACTGGGATAGTCAAATTTTTGATGTTTATTCGAAGAAACCATAAACATCAGTTCTGTGGGACAGTTTAGCCAGTTTCAGAAGGAGGTAACTCACCATTCTCTCTCTGTATTCACTGTAGATCCTGGGGGTTGGCAATGGGGCTGTTTACTGTTGTGCAGGCCCATGGGATTCCAGCCAGAAAAGAGTCGGGCTTCCCATGCCAGCAAGTTATACAAATAATTAACACTCACCAAGTGCTGATTCTGCACTAGGCACAACTCCAAGCAATTTACACTGATTTTCTCGTTTAATTATCACAACAGTTCATCAAGATCTATCTTCTTATTATTCCCATTTTACTGGCATGGGAGCAGAGGCACAGAAATATGAAGTGACTTTCAGCAAGTAGAAAAGTCAGCATTCAGATGCAGGCAGGATCACTCAAACACCTGCCTTCGTCTCGCTTTTTTTGAGACAAGGTCTTGCCATGTCACCCAGGTTGGAGTATACTGATGCCATCATGGCTCATTGCAGCCTGGAACTTCCAGGTTAAAACCATCCCCCTGCCTCAGCCCCTTGAGTAGCTGGGACTATAGGTGTGCACCACCATGCCCAGCTGATTTTTGTAGAGATGGGGGGATCTCACTATGTTGCCCAGGCTGGTCTCAAACGCCTGGGCTCAAGCAATCTCCTGCCTTGGCCTCCCAAAGTACGGGGATTATAGGCATGAGCCACCATGCCCAGCCCAAAACCTGCCTGTTGACCACTAGTCCCCCCATATATTTGTGATTTGGGCAACTGCTATTAGTTATGCATTCCCATCATCCACCCACCCAAAAAGAGAGAAGCCAATCTGGGGTCGCAAGTTTAATGGAGGAAGATAATTTACCCAGAATAGCTTGTTCAGATTAAATTCACACAGTTGTTTAAAAGCAAACTTGATTCTGCTCCAAAATATTCTGGATGCACTTTCTGACCTTCTTTTTCTATTGTGGATTAAGAAGGTGCTGAGGCGGGCGGATCATGAGGTCAGGAGATCGAGACCATCCTGGCCAACATGGTGAAACCCTGTCTCTACTAAACCACAAAAAATTAGCCAGGCGTGGCGGTTCACGCCTGTAGTCCCAGCTACTAAGGGGGCTGAGACAGGGAATCACTTGAACCTGGGAGGCGGAGATTGCCGCGATCGCGCCACTGCACTCTAGCCTGGCGACAGAGCAAGACTCTGTCTCAAAACAAAGAAAAAACAAAACAAAACAAAACAAATGAGGCCAGGGAGGGGAGGAGGGTGTGATTTATTTTCAGTTTAATTATTTTAAAAATATTTTTAAACAAATTCCATTATTTGGAGGTCTCTGGTGTTTAGACTTAAAATTTACTAATCTTAGTTTGTAATTCACTCATGGTGAACATTTTTCCAGTGGCAGTCTTGAGATAAGATTTGTTTGAAACTCTGTGATAAGGTGAGAAAATATCTAAAAGTCAGAGAAACAAGATTCCATCTCTACAAAATATTTTAAAAGTGTGTGAGGCGAGCATGGTGGCATGCATCTGCAGGCCCAGCTACTCAGGAGGCTGAGGTGGGAGGATCACTTGAGCCTAGGAGTTCAAGGCTATGGTGAACTATGATTTCACCACTGCACTCCAGCCTGGTGACAGAACGAGACACTATCTCTAAAAATTAATAATAATAAAAGGGGGTCAAATGCAGTGGTTCACACCTGTAATCCCAGCGCATTATCAGGCTGAGGTGAGAGGATCACTTGAGGCCAAGAGTTTGAGACCAGCCTGGGCAACAGAGCAAGAGGGGAGGGGAGGGGAGTGAAGGGGAGGGGAGGGAAGGGGAGAGGAAGGGAGGAGGAGGGAAGGAAGGAAGGGAGGGAGGGAGGAAGAATTAACCGGACATGGTGATGCACATGTGTAGTCCCTACTACTTGGGAGACTAAGGCAGGAGAATCACTTGAGCCCAGGAGTTCGAGGCTGCAGTGAGCTGTGACAGTGCCACTGAACTCCAGCCTGGATAACAGAGACCTTGTCTCCAAAATATTTTTTTTAATTTCAAATTTAAAAATTAAAAAAATTAAAACTCAAGGCAACTGCAGGCCTTTGGGCAATCCCTTATCTTTCAGAGCCGTTTCCTCCTCAGTGATGTGGAGCCATGCGTCCTCAGGCTGTGTGCAGATGGCACAGGGCTGTGTTTGCAAGCACTTAATGAAACAAGTTCAAATGTAGGACACAAGCCCTCCTCTCTGCCCCCTCCTCTTCTCTAGGACACAGAAGTTTCCAATCAGATCATCCTCGTGGAAGACGTCTTAGCCAAGCTCTGTAAAACCATTTACCCGCTGGCCGACCTCCTGGCCAGGCCACTCCCAGAGGGGGTCCATCCTCTGAAGCTTGAGATCTATCTCACCGATGAAGACTTCGAGGTAAGCGGTTCTTCCGGTGGGGTGGGGATGGGAGTAAAACAACACACACACGCCCAGCTCATTTCACTGAGCCGCGGGGCGCTTCTCCCAATGTTTCCAGTTTGCACTAGACATGACACGGGACGAATACAACACCCTACCCGCCTGGAAGCAGGTGAACCTGAAGAAAGCAAAAGGCCTGTTCTGAGTGGGGAGACGCCAGAGGAACCTCGGAGTCACGTCCAATACCATCGCACCAGGGAAATGGATATATATTTTTGGACTGGTGTTTTCCACAAAGTATCTTTCAATCAGAGTTTTCAGAACCCGACATTGTTAAAGATACTACTTGTCCGGGAGTTGTGTATTTTGTAAACGTTCAAGGGAACTATTTCGGAACTTCTTTCCACCATTCAGCAGATTATCAGAATTAATGAAAGTATGTTATGTGCACTTAAGCCGCAGCTGCTGTAGATAGCACTGCGTTCTTGTTCCAACTAAGCAATGCTTTTTTCTTTTTTCTTTTTTTTGGAAGCAGTTCTCTTTATAAAGTGTTATTTTGATAGTTTGTGGATTCTAAAACATATATATATTTATAGAAACACCATAAAAGTCAAGTAAGTATTTAACAAAGCAGTATGTATTCGTTTACTTTCAAGATGTTTTTTAATGTCAAAATAATACGAAAAGGTAGATGGAGTTGCTTCTGTCAAATTAGCTCTGCCACCAATACGTATCTTCATACAAGTTTGGAAACGTTTCCTGCAGCATTAGGTATGACTTGTTCTGAGTACTGCTTCCGGTGCTAAAATGAACAAAGAATTTGTACTTAATGGCATGGACTCTGGAGAATCTATGCGAATCAACCTTTCTACCTTAATATCTCCCCCAAAATGCCTTGTTTTTAATGTACAGTTTCTTTTTTTTTTTTTTTTTTTTTTTTTTTTGAGACGGAGTCTCGCTCTGTCGACCAGGCTGGAGTGCAGTGGCGCAATCTCGGCTCACTGCAAGCTCCGCCTCCCGGGTTCACGCCATTCTCCTACCTCAGCCTCCCCAGTAGCTGGGACTACAGGCGCCCGCCACTGCGCCCGGCTAATTTTTTCTATTTTTAGTAGAGACGGGGTTTCACCATGATCTCGATCTCCTGACCTTGTGATCCGCCCGCCTCGGCCTCCCAAAGTGCTGGGATTACAGGCGTGAGCCACCGCGCCCGGCCTAATGTACAGTTTCTATACAGAACAGTTTGCTCTGCGTCTTTGGTGATGGTTTGGAACATTATCTACAATTTTACTCTCAAATAGTCAAAATAAAAACATCTCAATTTATAATACCTCTTGTAAACATTACACATTATTTTGTGATACAGGACTTTTGTCTTGTGCTTTTGGAAAAAAAAAAAGCATCAGAATAAACACAACAATTAATTGATTGGTTCATATTCAATTCCAAGCATGTTCCTTTCTGAAAATCTTTTTTTTTTTTTTTTTTTGGGTAAATGTTAACCTAGCACTAATATTGTATCATTAAATATTAATGGCTATACATTTGAATTTAGTTTAGGGCAAGATTTTATACAAGGTCATAAGATTAAATAAAGAGCTATTTGCCCCATAAAATTAGTACTCAGTACTATATTGCAGACATATTTTTACAAATCATCATTCAACAGAAGTTCTTTTCCTTTTGCTTTTTTTTTTTTTTTTTTTTTTTTGAGATGGAATCACGCTTTTGTTGCCCAGACTGGAGTGCAATGGCACCATCTCAGCTCGTTGCAACATCTGCCTCCCGAGTTCAAGCAATTCTCCTGCCTCAGTCTCCTGAGTAACTGGAACTACAGATGCCCACCACCACGCTTGGCTAATTTTTTGTATTTTTAGTAGAGACGGGGTTTCACCACATTGGCCAGACTGGTCTCAAACTCCTGACCTCAAGTGATCCACCCTCCTTGGCCTCCCAAAGTTCGGGGATTACAGGCTTGAGCCATTGCGCCTGGCCTCAACAGAAGTTCTTTACCCCACAACTCTATCTACATTTCAATTTCAAGATCTCAGTGCCTTTAAAAAAAAAAAAAAAGTATGTGGATAAGACATCTAGAAAACTTAAAAATGAGTTAGAAAACTTCTCACAAGCGTGTATGTTCTTAAAATACAAATTCATGGGTTTGAAGGTATTCTGTAGACCTATCATGAGTTGTTACAGCCCTTCCCTATTCTCTGTTAGCCTAAGTTTAACACATTCCGTCACAGCACATTTGCCTGAAACTTCAGAACTTAAGTGCTCCACCCTTTCACTGCACCAGGGTGGGGACCTGTAACCCGCTCCTGGTCTCACCACTTTATGATTGTGTAATATTGGGCTGTCACTGAACTTCTCTGCCATGATTTCCTTTAAAAAGGAGACACTCCTAGCTATCTCACGTGCATCACAAGATTCCAAGTGAGGATCTAGCGGAAGCTCTTTGAAAATTGCCAAGTGCTAGATACATAATGGTATTAAGATCATTGTGACGGTAGCTGAAATAGGAAAGCAGGGGGGTTAAGTTAGGGAATGTTGTCACGCACCTAGAAATGATGGATTCAACCAAAGCAAGAAGAGGAAAAAGGAGAGAGAGAGGTTCAAATTCTATGTCCCATAGATAGCACGCAAAGAGGCGTGGAGAAAAGTCACTAGGGCAACCTGAGGTTCCGAAAGAGAGAGGCAGGGTTGCAACCTCTGCAACAGGTTCCAGGAATCACCTGGATCCTTAGATACCCAGGACATAGCTCGAGTTGCTACAGGAACTTCCAGTGGAGAGCTGCTGTAATCAATAAATAAGACAGGTGTCCTCATTAATATTCATTAATACTAGATTTTCCCAAAGTGCTTAAAAATCATGAATATCTACTTGTGTTAAACATTGTCCCCCAAAATGTGCTGTCCGTTTGCTTCTCTTGGTGAATAAGACACCCCAGCTTGTAGTGCCAGTTTACTTTTTGCCTCTTTTCCTCTGAATTGTTTCCTGCATCTCTTTCCTGCTTATAGAACCAGATCCTATTTTCCATGGTTTTTTTTCTGATCCTTTCCTTCTATAACTGCAACCTTTGACCTTTGTGCACTGGGAAGGGACCTAGCTGAAACATTCGAATTGCTAAACCTTAAAGTCTCAGCCCTTGAACTGACACTGGTGCCTGGGGCTTTTCTCCACAGTCCTCCAAACTCAAACCCCTGCTCTCACTACATGCAGCTGGGGCAGGGAAGTGGGATGTCCTTCATTTGCTGCCCTTGAACGAAGGGACCCATGAGAGGGGTGGGTGTTTGGGTTGAGATGGATGTCAGAGGTGCTGCGGGGCAGACGGGATGTTGAGCGTGTTCTGGAGCTTTGGATGAACTGTGCCAATGTGAGTCACTTCCAGAGTGGGACAATTGTGCCCCTTTGTTCCCGAATCCGAGGAGGGGAAAGGCTGCTGTGAGCCCACTTCTTTCTCTCCTACTTTACATTTCCTTCCCCAACTCTTAGAATTCCCATTTTGGTAAAAAGGAAACGTATTCTAGAAACAGTTCCAGAATTCATTTTGGTCCTTTGGTTTTGTTTTTTGATTATTAAATTAGCCGTGTGTGTCCACACAGAGACCTGGACACAGATGTTCATAGTGACATTATTTGTAATAGCCCAGACCTGTAAACAACCCACGTGACCGTCAACTGAGAAACAGAAAAACAAAATGCAGGACCTCCATGCGATGGCATCCTCCCCGATGGCAAAGAGACAGATATTCCTGCGTAAAAATGATATACACGTGATACTCACTACGACATGGATACACCTCAAAAGCATTAAATGAAAGAAGCAGATGCAAAAGGCCACATATTGTTTGATTCTTTTTATTTGAAACTTCCTGAAAAGGCAAATCTGTGCACACAGCAAGATGAGTGGTAGCTGGGGTTGGAGATGAGAGTGGAGGTTGACTGCAAATGGCATGAATGATCTTTTTGGGGCAATGAAAATGTTTTAAAACTGGATTGTGTTGATGGTGGCACAACTCTATGAAGGATTAAAACTCACTGATGCTGGGCGCAGTGGCTCACTCCTGTAATCCCAGCACTTTAGGAGGCCACAGCAGGAGGATCGAGCCATGGCCCAGAGAGAGAATTTGGCATTCATTTTCACAGGCCTTTCTTGATCTCAGATCCAGAATAAAGCACATATGTTTCAAAACAGGCCTCTGTGCAAGTCCTTTCTGAACTAATGTAGCCACTAATAACGGGTGGCCATTACCAAGAAGTCAATCAAGAGTACTGGTGCAAGTCCAGGGCAGCGGCTCATGCCTAGAATCCCAGTGCTTTGAGAGGTTGAGGAGGGAGAATCACTTGAGGCCAGGAGTTCAAGATCAGTTTGGGCAACATAGTGAGACCCTGTCTCTACAAAAAATTTAAAAATTAGCTGGGCAGGGTAGAGGCATGCCTTTAGTCTCAGCTACTCAGGAGGCTGAGGCGGGAGAATCACTTGGGCCCAGGAGGTGGAGGCTGCAGTGAGCTGTGATCCTGCCACTGTACTCCAGCCAGAGCAACAGAGCAAGACCCTGTCTCTTAAAAAAGTACAGTGCTCTGTTTTCAGAAATATCAAGGTAATTAAAGTGCAAATAACTGAGAATTAACTATATTGGTACGGCATTTGGCCCAAAGAAGCCTTCCTCCTTTTGAAAAGTAAATACATTGCATCACATGCATGTGCTCTTCTCCCCAGAGAAAGGATGCTGGGCTGCTTCAGACCTCTGACAATGGATGCACCCCCAGGATTAGATCAGAAAGATGGACCTGCCGGGGGAAAGCGTCGGAGGCTTCTGTTCCTACCATCAGTACCACGGATGCGATGAGAGTGTGGAGCCCGCATGGAAATGCCCCACGGGTTTCACAGTGTCTAAAGCTGATCCTTGGGGACTAATAGAGAAGAAAGATTAACAGACCAGCATCCCTCGTTTCTAATACTGAACTGGCCTTTACTGAGCTCTTCTGTTGCACAGCTGGGATTGGAAAGGAAGCTACAGGAGCCGAAGTGAATGCAAGCTAACAGAAAGGAAGGCAGCGCGGAGGACGCCGCAGCCCCAGCGCCCTCACAGCCTCAGCAGAGCTGTGGGGATTGTTCTTCACATCTGACGCCATGGGGTTCTGGAAGTCTCTTAAGGGATATATTGGAACTGACTTGTATTATTTGGAAATCGACATAAATTGTCTATTATTAAATCTCACTGAATTAAGTCCAACTTTACCATCTGAACACCATTTTAGCATTCATCCTGAAATGGTTGGAACATGATTTGTTAGCTCCATAAGGGTAAAGAAATATTAGCTGGGTGCAGCAGCTCATGCCTGTAATTCCAGCACTTTGGGAGACTGACATGGGAGGAAGGAGTGAGCCCAGGAGTTTGAGACCAGCCTGGGCAACATAGTGAGACCCTGTTTCTACAAAAAATTAAAAAATTAGCCAGGTGTGGTGGCACATGCCTGTAGTCCCAGCTTTTAGGGAGGTTGAGGTGGGAACCTTGTTTGAGCCCAAGAAGTTGAGGCGGCAGTGAACTGTGATTGCACCACTGCACACCAGCCTGGGTGGCAAAGTGAGACCCTGCCTCAAAAAAAAAAAAAAAAAGAAAGAAAGAAAGAAAGAAAGAAATATTGAGCAACTACTGACCAAGAGCCCGTATTGAAGCAAAGAAAAATAAAACAAGCCTCATTTTTAGCAGTGGTTTCTGCATATGGAAGACAGCAAGTGGCAGGAGAGTACATTTGGGATTGCAGGACTTGGTTAGTGTCAGAGCCTGTCCTAAAAGACGACGATGCAGCAGGACCCTACCTCTCCTTATGACTTCCTTTCTTCCTCCACGCTCACCCTCCATGCTGCCTTCCTGAAGGAGGCCATTCCATTATTAACAT